AATTGTATTTACTATGTGAAATTTTTTTTTAATAAACAATTACGCTTTAAATAAAATTTTAAAAGGAGATACGACCTTGTAAAATCATTCTATTTTTAGTTTTTTGGTTATGTATATAAAAAAAAATCATATGTTCAAGCCCAAATACCTGTTTGATAAAGACTGGTTATCTAATTGGTTTACTATTTATCGTCTGTCTGCCAAATCTTGCATTGTTTGCCACCAGCCAAATTTTGAAACATAATAGTAATTTTTTTGCGTTGGACTAAAATTTCGCGCGCGTTAAAGTCTCTTACAGTACCTCATTGTATGCTTGTCCGGAGGCTATTGAACGAAACGGTTAATATTTGAATGAATAAATTGTTTCGTAAAATATGTCAAGAAAGGAAAATTAGATCATAATGTCAACTCCTACGAGATTTGCATATAATGGTGATCCTACCAGTCCACTAGGTATGTGCAGTTCTAGAGTAAAATTTAACAATAAAATTTTATTATCGTCAATATTAATGAAATTAACAATACAATAAGTTCAAAAAAACTTATATGCAGACTAATTTAATGTGGAGTATTCACATTATTTGATGATAACATACATTTGTTTTGTCAAGAGTTTGAATTTCAATCTTATTGTCACATATTGTATGCATAATTTGTAGTGTATTGTTTATGCCACGATTAACAACCGGATAATTAGCTTACAAAATGACAACAATAATGTTATTCGCTTTTATAAACAGGATGTCTTTAAGGCTAGATTTCGCATATATGTGTTATTATCACCAACACTATTAATGCTTAAAAAAAAAAAAAATTGTACACAAGAAGCTCAGTTTCCACGTATAGAAACATCTATATACGATGTTGCACGCGGTGATATTATAATATTAAATATATTAATTATAGAATTTTTGTTTTCTAACTAAATGTAACTCTAAAGGGAGAAGTGTACAATAATTATCATGGAGGGCTGGTATCACGACTGTTTCGATTAGACTTGAATAAATATCGAATTAATATATCGACAGTCATACACCAATCAGATTACGATCGTGACAAAAAATAGCATTCAGCTGTTGAAGAATTAAACCATTTAGATTTTATTTTTTGCAGTAATAGAACTCTTTTAGATGTTAAAAAACGTACGTGAGGTTTTTACTTGTACAATGATTACAATGAGCGTCTGGGACAGACATATATTACCGACATTAATCATTACCGTGGCTGGACATTTCGCATTAGACTTAACGTCGGGCCATTAATTATAAACGTGTAAATCTGCCATGCGAAATAATAATATGTGTAAACACCGTGTTCAAAGCGAACTTGCAAGTGATCGTCTCTGTTGTATTTCTATGGTTAACGGCTATTTTCTATGTGGAACTGTTTATATGTTGTAACTAATTATTTTAGCAACTCTTCTTTAACTTAATGTGTACTGGACACATGTACTTGTCAATTTTATACATTTAGCAATCGTAAGAATTTTACATTAATCTATTGCCAGTTAGCATAAGTATGGAAAATGTCTGATTAAGAGCTTTAACAAATTTGTATCATGCTATGAGTAAATATGATGATAATAATGAACAGAATAGATAAGCCGAGACAATATTTGAAACAAGATGTATAAATAGATACACGTGTTTTTTATTTTACTTAATTGACTTTAGTATTGCACTATTAAAAAGTAATACGAACAATAAAAATTGAAGAAACTTATTTATGTATAAAGTTGGTTGAGCGTTATAGCAAGACGATTAATTGCATTTCATTTTTACGCTTAAGCTTAAACAATTACAGTATAGATAAATAGTAATAAGAGCCACTTGCACAAGAAAAAACTGCCAATATGGTTCTATAAACACAGATGAATAACATACGTTTTACTCAGACGGTATCATCGCGTGCAGTCGAACAAAAGGTCATAATTAATTGTATTATTATTATTTATACAAATTTCCCATATACAACTTATTACGCGCACAATGTCTAAGATGACCTCTAAATATTCTACGAAAACCGTATAATTGTACTTATAATTATTTAAGTAGCGCCTCAAGGAAATCAACCAGACGTATCTTAGCTGTAGCGTTTATCGGCACAATTTTAATCTTTTCGAAAATCATCAATAATCCTCGATTGTGTTTCATCCAAGTTTAACTTATTCCCTTGGCCTGTCTATTTATAATTGCAAACTCATTCGTTCCTGTAAAAAACGATCTCATCATACGTGATTATAATAAAAATACATTGATGATTAATTTCACGCCCATTGCAACCTCATAATTGTTTTTGACGGTCGTTTAAGTCTTCCACTTACTACCGATAAATATTTATTTAACTTACTAAAATTAACTCGCACCTTATTAAAATAAATATACTAGAAAATGATCACTTTGTTGTGAATCAAACGAGTACGGGGAGGTTTTACACTCAACGTGATAATAAAGAAATGTAACATAATTGGATAATTGTTATATAGAGAAGTGACTCGAATTTAGCACAATGTCTGGAAAATAAACAGCAATTGCTGCCTGTTCATACAAATTCATACACAAACAAATGCATTCTATACACTTATTGACTAACCGCGGTGTGCAAGAAAATCATCATCGGACGATAGAAAGCTATTGTAAGTCACTTTGTACCGTTAACGCCGGAAGATACTACGATTGCAATATATCCCAGTAGCTCAGAATAATAATAATAATACTACACGTGAGTCAGATGGGCTCATTAAGCGCTATTTCAGTCTCCCAAAGGGAAGCTTTTTAACCATTTATACTCAGAAACGAATGATTAGTGCGTCGACGGAAAAAGGAATGGCATTTTGATATAAATACTGATTTTATCTCTTATTCAGAAAACGAAGCTACCCGTAATCAAGTCTCAAACTTATTACAGTGGGCAATAGATACTGCCGCGTTACCGACTTGACCGCATCGTCATCTGTGTATAGATCAAATAATAAATTAAATTTTTTGAGTTTTATAATTCATTTTTTAACGAGAAAGAGAAACCCATGAAAAATTGACGTCCTTCAGTAAAAAAAAGCTATATACTGGTTAACTTCATCAATAAATGATTAAAAAAAAAAAAAAAAATTACTACCATTTTATTCGAGACTTGTAAAAGTCCGCAGACAAAATCAATTACACTCGCTTGAAAAAAAAAACGCTGCAATTTTTGTTTAGGGATAACATTAGACATAATTATGATAAAAAATTTCAAAGGAGCTCTTAAAAGTTGTTTTAAATAATAATCATATTTATTCCAGTACGAATAAATATACTTCACGTGTGAAGTGGAGTTTTGTTTTAAATGTTTTCAATTAAAATATTTAAATTGTTATTGTTGTCAAACGCAAAGACTTTCACATTACTGGCGTGAAAAATAAAATGCATTTCTATAGCTAAAAGCCAAATTCCAAAACTGCGGGACGTATTGAGCACATGTCGTATAAAACTAAAATCAAAAGAAATTATTCGAAAAGAAACAAACTCTTTGTGAACGCTTGTTATATAGATATACACTAGGTACATCCGCGTGACTTAATTCACTTGGCGTTGTCAGAAATTGAAAGAAGCCGGTAGATCTAATTTTTCGTCGTGTGCAAACTCTTGCCGACACGGCGCGGCCGACCGACGGCATGACTTTGCTTATACGTGAAATCAATTATAATATGTGCATACATACTTGTATAATTATTATTATAACCTAACCTTGCAACACACATGAATGTTACAATTGAAAAAAAAAAAAAATACTGAGATTGACTGGGGAAGGTAATAGTGGCAGAGCAGTGAACAATAATTGGTATGAGTCATTATTGTTCGTCGAGAGGGACTCTCGGCGGGTTCAAAAAATCCTATTAAATCTCACGGGGTCGTCGCCTGTATTGTTTTTTATTTTTAGCGAAAGGAATTATCATTTTATGAATATTTTTACACGAAGCGTGCGTTCGACATGGTGGTCAGCAACAATTCCATAAGAAATCGTTGTGATGTTAGTGTTTGTATGGAAATGGCTATTTAATGTATACGACGGCGACCGCACAGTGCGACGGCCATCAGTCAGTTTGCCGTGAGTTTATAGACAACTTCACGTGCATAAATGTATACAGAAACTACTATCATAGAATAAAGGGTAGGCAATACATTATATTTCCACGTTGCAATTTTTTTTTCACGCCAACACAGATCGTACATTGTAATGAACAAAACAAAGCGAATAAAATGTATTAGTTATAACCGACGGCATTCTTCATGGTAGAAGTGGAAGGAAAAAATCCTAAGCATAGTGTTGTAACCCGTCTATTCATTCACACGGGCATAGAACTTTAAATCTAGAAAAGAAGAGTTTTCATTTGAACTGCTTGGACAAAAATTACCAGAATCGCCGGGTTCCGCCTGATACACACCACTAGAGGCAGAAGTTTAGCATTTACTAACATAATATACATTTTTTATTGATCTAATCACCTAGATATCGACATTACGGTACTCTATTGTGGCAATGAACAAACGCTTTGACACACGGTCTTGATAACGTCTTGGCGGGCGCATACAATGTGACGGTGGCGACGGCGGACATGACGGTAAGACGCGCGCTTCTGCAGGTTCAACAACCCACCGCGATAATTTCACGAGATTAAATGTGGCCCACGCTCACGTATTCAATAGAATGGAAGAAGAAGAATCGAATAGTCGGATGTTTGTGCGACAAATTGATAAAAAATAATAGTGAAATATTGTTGATCGATCCGAGTGTTCCACTTCAGCTGGAAATGTGTTTTAAACACATCCTCAGACTGCGCTAAACGTCATGTTTAATGTCCGATAACTACTAGACGGCGGCTACTAATTCGGCACAGTTTCCACAGTACATTACACCTCGTGTTTCACACTCAACTGAGACGTACGACTGAGTGTTTATTTTTTTGCGTTTACTCAATTGTTATAAGGTTTTATTGGAATATCGTTATTGCAAAAACTTACCGAAAACAGCTATTGGCAAAACTTATAGTGCTCTGAAAAATAAAAATAAAAATTATCATTTTTTTTTTTTGATATATAAAAAATGTACGCAAACTGCTATCAATAACAATACATCTAGAATTGATATTCACTATGCAAACAAATTAATACCGCGACTTAACAAAGTCACGGTAAGCCCATAAATTTAACAAAATTTATGGCCATCTTATGAAAGATGCAAGCAAGTTCATAAAAACAAATGAATATTTAAATTAAATCTACATGATCCTAACGAGTGTTTTATTTTCTGGTCAATTAAAAATTAAATTTTACCGCCTACGAGACGTTTTTAGTGTTCGGTAATTGTTATTTATGGCACCAAATCAATAATAGTGACCAACAACGTTTTTAGTATCGGTCAATAGTATCACGACTCGATTGGCGACCGGCCAAAGTCTCGTCGACACACTTGGACGATTGTATTACAACATTATTTCACCGATTCACAAAAGTGTCATCGCTGTTCGTCTTCATATCTAACGAATCCTCCCCGTGCGTTATGTAATGGCTCGTTGGATCATCGTTACTAACGTTCGATTTGGAGAAATAACATTAATGCAGCCCATTCGATTTAGGAAAAGACCTCGGGGCTGCTACAACGCATTCAGTTCCTTAAAAAAATCCCAAGACAGTTTGCGACCGTTTTTCAGCTTCGATCGTAAAAAAAAGACGTGCTTCGGTCATATCATAATACTAATTGAATCGAGATTAAACGCACATGAGGTTAAGGGCGTCGGGTGTGAGGTCATCCGTGTTTGTGAGTATTATCGCGATCCGTGCGAACCATCTCATAAATTACGGTTTTTACGGTCGGTAAATGTTGATTTCCCATCTAAAGTAATAATTATCTAATTACGCGTAAAAAACACTTGTTTTATCGACGGCAACACACTCGATTAACACACGTAACAACTTTACTCGATATGTCTCGGAAACATTCATGTCAAGTGTACTTCAACTTCCTGTCCAACGCAAATTTATTTTTAAATCGATTTTTAACAAAGTCAATTTTGTAACACTTGACAGCTGATGGACTGCACAGTCTCAATTAGAAATTTAATTATAGTTAATACAATCATGTATTATATACATTATGTATTTATGATTTAAAGTTGAACAACACATTTAGAGTAACGCTGTAATAAACAATTGCAAAAACTCTCATACGACAACAGTGTAATTTTAACTTAAAGTATCGGAAATCCTACACGATTATAACATTTTTATCACTGTTTATAATATTAGTATGGATTAAAAACTTGTAGTATATAATTGTGAACATTCAGACATTTTTTCAAGTGAACGGTAAAGATTGTTTTTTGTTCTAGTAAAAGTCCCATTACAACCGTGTTAGTTTAACGGAAATAATACTTGTGTTTACGGGGGCAGAGGAAAACAATTTATTTTGAGTAGGTCACTCCAAATGATTCGGTCATAAGTCCGCTAGTGTTTTTTACCATGCGCGTTATTCTAGGGAATATTGGTTTAATAAGTTATAGAAAATGTCCGATTTTTCACATACATGTAATAAACGCATAGAACGCAACAAACGATTTTTGATAGCGATAAAAATATTGTATTTTTGTATGAACTTTAAATCGAAATTAGACTACGTGTGTGTAAAATTAACGTGTATATTAAAAATATCATATCGACGTACAGGGGAATTGTTATTGTCGTTGTGTACCGTCCGGTGGTGAGTCGTTAATATTTGTCTGGTTGTCATTTTACTATCTAAATTATCGTATAATAATCATTGTAAGTACTAGCCACAAATTTTGAATCATGAATTGTGCAACATAACTCGAACGCATTATGTAATTAAACACAAAAAATATTCGATGAGAAAATTTAGCTAAAAACATAATGCGGTATTTAAAAGGAATATAAATATTTTAAAGATGTTTTCAGACTTGTACGGCGCCCATTATTATAGTATAAATATTTAATGTCTAAATCACACTGAGCCGTCAATAAGTTGGAATTTGTTGTGTTGTAACGATGAAAGTATTTTCTAATGTAAGTAGGTGTTTGTCAACAAGTCTATTGAACATTTTAATGGTGATACGTGCTCACCCGTGTATTTATTTGCACCATGAAAATTCTGTGGATTATTTCTCTTAAAACACAGTAATTATATTGTTCTTATGTGCACTGTCACCGGCTCTTTTCGCGTCCTGTGCACACGGTTTGATTACACGCCAATAACTTTGTACGTGTGCTACTACACAATCGTTGCCTGTTGATGAATCCCATTGAGATTCAATATCGTCAAACACACTCCACTCGAAGCGTGTGTATTTTATCGAAACAACCACTACTATAATATATGTACTGTGCAGTCGTTGTATAGGAGCTCATTTTGTGCACGAATGACGTCATGCAGTCAAACGGTGTGCACGTATGGAATGGCGGCGATTTTCGTGTTGCGCATTGTATGCAGTCTCAGATTTAGCGTTGGCTTGTTGGGCACACAAAGATATTGTGAATAATAATTTGCGGGCTCCCTGGAATTTTGGCCGGTTTTCAGGCGGTTTTGTCTGTAACCACCGAGGGGACTATTGTCAGCTCGCCAAATTTATCAAGTGTACGTCGAGTTGAATGCTTCGGCAAATTCAATAAATCGTTACAAGTAGACAGCAGCGTTGCCCTATTTCATCTTCTTCAGGGTTGACAAAAATTGTACATTTGTCATATTCCTTTGTGGAACGACCGTCGTCCGTATTTCACCAGTCACGTCGATGTCCTTGAGCTTGAAATTTTCATACAAAAACCATTTAGTTTAAACACTCTGTACTCATTGTCCGTGTCGCGCGTTTAAATCGCTCGCTATTGCAATTACTATTGTGTATACCTGCCTCGGTATTTAATGACCCACACTCATTAGCGAACGTAAACAAGCCATAATAGTATAATGCGAAAGAAATCGATTGTATGTAAGACGAGCCATTAAACTGAGGAAACCTATAGGTTTGTGTGCGCGCGCGAGACGTAGACACATTTGGAGTCATTTACCGATTCACGTCTCGAACCTCCTTGACCCATTGTGTGTGCTCGCACAGAAGAAAACGTCCTCAAGACCGGATTACTAATATGCGACAAAAAAACCATTTAGATTATTAAACATACGCAGTGAAAATTTGGACGATTATACGTGACAAAAGTTCCAGATGACAAGGAAAAGTATTCAGAGACTGGCGGTGGTTAGAGGTGCAGCCGTATGTCAATTTTTTCGTGACTGATCCGGTTATTGACCGTCTTAACGTGATGCAAATATAAATAGACAAACGATATTTTTTAAGTGTCAGTATGGTGCATACGATACGGGCGTGCTGTTTTATTGTTGGTGAACTTCTGATGAAGTTATGGCCAACGCGGGCAAAGGCCGGTGGCCAATTCAAGGTTTCTGGAGCAAGTCAATGGCACAAAACTCGTGTTGCATAACTATACTATAAAAAATACACGATACAATAATGTGTTTATATACATTAATGAGATGTTTACTGTCATCAATGGAGGCGTTCGACTCTATTGCAGGTTTCCGATGGTTTAACGATTGGACACGACCAATTTGCTGCAAATAAAACCGCATTGGTGGTTTGCAGGATTGTTCAGAAAAGAAAAAAACCCAAACCGAATGTGAATTGTTGAATGTCTCTTTGTATGAAATTGTGAATTGAGCGGCTAATGATTTTAGATGTAACGAGGGGTTACAAACCCGAAAGAAATTACACAACGGTGTTTAAAATTTTTTCCTTGTAGAAATAGATTAACTTTTGGCTGCATCTTACAAGTCAATGATCTCCGTATTTATTATAACCATTGTTGTTGTTGTATTTAATATTTTCTAGACATTTTTTACAATTTCCTCGTAAAATATTAATGCGGTTCACGCATTTAATACGTTCAGAGTATTAATAGGCCATAACCCAACCTTGACAGTCGTTTAATTGGCACGGTTGGCGTCTGTACAAGTAACTTTTTTTTTTCAGAACATGAAAAAATCGCACTGCGTTCTTAGTTATTGTCATTTAAATATTTTTTATGCTTTATTATTAATTACGGTTAAGCTCCTGGGTGAGAATGATATCCCTCTAAACACGCTTTAGATGACCGTATTTCCCATTTGATCTGATTTTTCTAACTTGTGCTATCGATAGATGGCCCCGTTGCAGTAACACTACGAGGAGCATGTGTTGTAAAATATTGGGCGTGTGCAAAATAAAAATAATTGAAAAACACTAGAAAACAAAAGCTTAAGCGCAAACTTGTTCTTTCTGAAAAAAACTAAATGTTTCTTCAGTGACCTTGTTGTACACATACTCACGATAATTATTTGTTAAAACTGGAACAAACGGGTTGGTGTTTATGTCACTTTTTACTTGTGAATAATGTCTTTTATCGCCTAACATATAAATGGACACTGTAATTTTTTCTCTTACGAATCGTCAATTAAAATTAAGGTCATAAATGAGTCAGAAAATTGTTCGAAATCTAATTTACTATGCTTGACGATTCGTCATCTAGCTTTTGAAACAACAACTCGTATTTTCTGTCAGTGATGATTGAAGAGTTGTCTGTACGCTACTCGTATTTAAGTACGCATTATTTTAATGAAAAATTATTCAAATAAACACGAATGAATACTCAACGAGAAAATGGTTGCGACTAAACAATTGATATTTTAAAAAATCATTTACCTATCAATATAAATGATGAAAATAAAGCGTATCGTTAAATTAATTCTTAAGCTTCGAGACGAAAATAATTGTTTCACGAGTGTTATGATAATCGTTCGGGTGTTGGTCATTGATGTGGTCACTGACCTTGTATACGCGATAAAACATAGAGGGCCTCTGGGTCCCCTGGGTTTTTGGCGAATTATTATTCAAGACTGAAACCATAGGGAGAAACACCGAGAGATTTTCATTCTACGACGTATAACAATGGGCCAAATAATTAATAATTGCAAACTGTCGTTTTCATTGAAGTT